GCACAGCTCTGAGCATTTTACACATATTCACTCATTTAACTCACAACAAACCTACAAGGTAGGTGGTATCATCAGCTCCATTTTACCAACAAGAAAAGTGATACTCAATTTCTCTTTATTAAAGGGATTCACAGTAGCAGAATACTGGCAGGGGTGGGGGGGTATGATACACAACATCAATAAGGGTACCTGATCTCAAACCAGGCAAAGTGGGGACCAAAGGGAGACCCAAACTTTACCTGTACAATGACCACTTGTATACCTAATCCTGAATTGTACCCCACATCTTTAAAATAAATTTTAAAAATTTTAAAAAAACTTATCTTTGTTTCTTGGCTCTGCCTTTCAGTGTATGGGCTTTCTTCTCAGGTCCTCATAGTGACTCCACATTTATTAGAGTCATTTATGAGAGAAAAATTCACAGGAGTTGGAAACAAAGAGTCTTCAGGACTTGGCAACTCACTGGGTGTGGAGTTTGGGGTGTGGCTGCAGATGAAGGATCAGGTCTTTTGTCGTACACTTTATAAGATGAATACAGAGAAGAATATTGACTTTCGAGAAAAGGAATACAGTTTGGATATGTTGGATTTAATATATCAGTGGGCTATTCAGATGAGTGTACTTTTATTATACTTCAGGTAACTGAGACATGTACACAAAAATAAATAATGCAACAGGATAATTGAATAAACAGAAGAGGATATCAAGTTGAAGGAAGAATATTTCTTCTGGGAAGACCTCCAATATAATTGCTGCCACTCCTGCAGAGCTGGAGGATTTTGTGCTTCTGTAACACCTTATATTTCTCTCAAAAAAACTTGCTCAAAACTCTATTGCAATTTCCAGTTTAAGGGAAGTTCCATAAGGACAGCATCCTTATCCATATAATACACTATCGATCTTCATCACCTAGAACAGCAAGCATCAAGTGAATGAATGAGTTAATAAACAATCTAATTTTGTTCTAATAATAGACCTGGGGAAAGAGAATGTCATTCACCAGCAATCAAGTTCAAATGTCTTCGACAATGAAGACCATTTTTTCCCATGGCACCTTGCCACCTCCTATTTGAAAAAAAAAAAAGATATGGGTACACAAAAAAAATTCACAAAACAATGGCCAAGAGTTGAAGGAACATATTATAAGGAATAGCTGTATAAACCAGTAATGGTTGACCTGAAGAAGAGATTGTGGGAGAAATCCTGGATGAGTCAATCCTGTGTGCCCTGCAGGAATTAGACACTAAGGACATACACACTATAGAAGTAAAGCAATCTTGTTGTCTATAAGTTGCCGAAGGAGAGCCAGTTGCCACATATCAGAAATCATAGAGACAGAGTTTGATCCCATTATAAAGAAAAGTTTTCTATAAGTGGAAGTTGTCCAAAAATAGAGTTGCCCGAGAGGTAGTGAGTTCCTTGTCACTGAACTTTTTCAAGGACAGGCCAGCTAAGAAGAGATGGCAAGAAGGCAGAAGACACATCAGTGTTGGAAATTCTGGTGAACTAGATGCCTTTTGAGTTTTCTTCACTCCTGAGGTTGAATGATTCCTCCGCTCGCAACAAAGGAAAGTCAAAAGGATCTCCAGTACTTAACTAGTGAAGAAATCTCCTACCAGGAATTTAATATTTTTACCCATTTTTACCCAGCAGAATATGGGCATACCAAGTTAGATCATCCTGCCTGTTTTCTTTACTCACTTTCCACTATTCTACTTCCTTATGTGTCTTTAAGATCTTATTTTGGCTTTCTATGTAGACTTTGTTATGGGAGGAAAAATGTTCCGACTAGCCATCTAGACTATTCCAGTCACTTGGCAGTAAGACTTCTTAGAGAAATTAAGGAATCCAGCACTCGAGTTAATCAGTGTTTTCCGAGTGTGATTATTGTAAATCAGCCTAATCATGCTGACATACATAATAAATGTGTGCTTCTGGCCTGAAGAGCTGAGAACCAAACTAAATTTTAGTGGTCCACCCATATGCTTTCCTCCTGCTTAAAGCAGCTGCCTAAATGCCACACATGCTGGATGACAAGTTGGTACTCTGGGTCAGTTTCTCCATTCCCTTTAATTTTTAATAATATTAATAAGAATAATAATTAGCAGTGACAATGGAGAACATGATGTAACAAAACGAGCTATTAAGAAATTGAACACATTTTGTTTTGACTTGATTTCATTATTTGCTGCTATAGACAAATCAAGAAGCAATAAAAAATAGCATTCCCTTCGCCACAATATTCACAAAGCCTTTGGGTTTCTAGAGGTTGAGACATTTTATAGGGGAAATGCGAAGTTGGGTTCTTAATTTTTGTGAATTGAAAGGGGAAAATCAGAAAGATTACCAGGAATTTGGAAAAATCAAGAATGTATTTTCCCTTGGTGATAGAGCACCGAACCTGCTTATACCAGCCCCCTCTAGGATGGCAGAACCTTAAAAGGGCTGGCTGCTGGGAAGCCAGGGTCTGAGCACTAGATTTGAGAGCCTACAAGAGAAGCCCTAAATTTTCCCCAGACAAAATGGAGATACTGCAGAGCCGCCCACCATGGAAGGACCCCTGTCGCGCCCCGTCCCTCTACCCCTACTCTCTCCTGGACCTCAGCTGGACAGGCTAGTCATGAGGTAGTTTAGATGAGGCATCAACTAGGACACTGGCTCCCCGACAGTGACATCATGTGGCCATAAGGAGTAATGGCAGCAGAGACATGCAAAAGCTGAGAGAGGATGTGAGTTGAGTCCCCTGGTATAATCCACAATCTAGAGAAGGGGAAGATAACTAAAATTACTGATTATAGACTTTCCACCAATCATGGCAGGTGAGGGCTTAAACTTGTCTTATTGAGTCCATGAAAATAAAAAAGGTGACACCACTTGAACTTCATTATCAAGGAGGAGTAATTTACACATAAGCCTGGTCCCAATATTAGTCCCAAACGTCCTTATGTAAAGTACACCCCACTCCACCACAGCCATTATCTGTATCCTTAGTCTGTGTTCATCAGAGCTCATAACCAGAAGGCTCTTATGGGTCATATGTTTATTTGTTTTTATCTGGCTTACATATTTACTTGTTTACTGTCTACTAGAGGAGTCCTACTAAAATTTAAGCATATGGAGGCAGGAAACTTTCCTTTTTTTAAAAAAAAATTTTTTTTCTTAACCAGTCAAGCAAGCAGCAGTGAATGGAGCCTCAGATTTTAAAATAGTGCCTAGCAGACATTAAGAGTTCAGTAAATATTTGTTGAACGAGTGGACGAATGAATTATGTACCTGAAATTTATGGAGCAGAAACTATGCTGCAGGCACAGTGCTAAGCACTTGACTTATGTCATTTAATCTTTGCAACAGCCCAATAGGGGCTGTCATTATCCCATTTTATAGATAAGGGAACTGAGAACCCAAACTACTGCCCCTCACCATTCCTGTTTTTCATCCCACTGTCTACTATTTCCAAGAACACTTCCTTAAACATCCCCTGCTTTTCCTCCTTCAGGTTGGGCCGTACCCCTTCCCCATTTGCTCTCAAAACAGCTCACACATAACTATCACTACATGTATATTATTCCTTAAAACTGTGGTGTTTGTATCTCCCTCTAAACTCTGTGCTTCCTGGAGGCAGAGATGGTGAACACCCTCTTGGTGTTCACAAAACCTAGCATAGGGCCCGGAACACAGTAGGCCTTCAAAAGCTGTTTTATACAACAGAAACTGAATGAAGGAGTAGGTAACCATGCTCACCCTGCCCCCGCCACCAATTTCTCACTTTTCTTCTGTACTGTTTGCTTTACTGTTCTTGCGGGAAACTATCCCCAGCCCCTCATGAGGGTCTACTGTGTACAAGCACAGTATTTGGTGTGGGAAATACAAATATGAGCAGAAATAAGTAAAACAGTCCCTACCGCAAATGAGTCACACTATAGCAGAGTGAAGTGTGATAGTAACTGCAAATAATTACAATCAGTGTCGTTAGCACTAGAAGCGTGCAAATGGTGCTTGGGAAACAAGGAAGAGAAACAGGTGGCCCTGAAACAGGAATACCTTACTGAGTTTTGTAGGACAGTAGAGATGAGAGTGAGAGCACGGAGCTCAAGGTGACTCAACAGTAGCATGAGGGAAAGTGGCAAGAGACAAGGCTACAAAAATGAGCAGGAACTGGATTATAAAGGGCCTTGAACAGAGTTTGGCCTTTACTCTGATGACAATAGGGAGACATTGAAAGGTCTGAATCAGGACGATGACGTGATCAGATTGGCAGTTCAAATACTGGCCAGGTAAAGAATAAGGCAACGACAGTAAGTATTCAGAAAAGTGGACAGATTAAAGAGGTCAAATCAGTACAATAACAGCTTCTACGTTGGAGGTGCCTGAGAAAGAGTCCTTGAGCTAACAAGGACGCACAGGTTTCTGTGTGGATGGTGGTGCCATTCACTGGTAAAGAAAACACAAGACAGGGAGGAATTCTGAACCATGCCTAGTAAGGCCTGCCACATAGGTGCTCAATAAATAGCTGTTGCATTGAAATGGAATTTAATTAAAAGGTAGAAGCTACATTGCTACTTTTGGAGTATTGTTTAGCTGTAGCTCCAATGGTATGGGGTGCACAAGCTAGTAGAAGAGGCCTGGGAGTGAATGTCAGTCAAAAAGGACCCAGAGTGTAAGAAGGGCCCAGAAAGGAATCCTGGAAAACTAAACTTTTAAAGAAGTGGTAGAGGAAGAAAAGCCTAAGAGGAATTGACCTTTGGGGAGCAGCTGTGGCATGAGGCTGTACTAAATCCTTTGAAAATTGCAACTGTGTATCCCCACGAAGAAAATGTTTAAGGAGCAAGTGGCCAGCCGGATATTCCTATGTGCCGCCGAGTAGAGCCCAGGATTCCGTGGAAGCCGAAGAAATCGTACAATGATCTATTTGACATTCAAGCCACATTCCAGATTCCAACATTTCCCTTATTCCTTATACTGCCTTCTCCACTCCCACCCCCCTTCACATGGAGTCTGGATCAGATGAAATCACTTTTATTAATGGTGAGCGCAAGCAGATGTGAGTGACTGCACCTCTTTTAGAGTACACGGGGTACTGGGCCTAAGGCATAGGGAAGGGAGGGCCAGAGCCGGGCTGTGGATGCAGGATTCGCTCCTTATTAGGGCGTGAGTGCTGCATTCTGAAAGGATTTATTTCGGGACACGGCACAGGCACAGGGAGGCAGGCAGCACCAGCCATCAGGCTGCACTCTCTATCTGGAGCGGAGCCTCTCTGGCAGCCTCGGGTCTCCCGGGGTCATCCTCGGTGTCCTGCGCAGGCTCTGGCTCCAGAGTGGGCTCCAGCGCAGGCTGAGCCTCCGGCTGTTCTTCCGCACTCCGGCCAGGCCCCAAGCGAGGCGGCTTGACCGGCGTGGGCGGCGGCGCTGCCGGGCCTTTCCGGCCCGAAAGGGCCCTTCGCAGGCTCTGTACCTTCTGCAGCCCGGTGCGCCGCAGCCGCTGAGCCCGGGACTCGGCGGGTTCCTCGTCCGAGCTCTCTCCAACTTCGGCCTCTGGCTGCTCTGGGCCCAGTTCGGACTGGTCCGCGGGGCCCAAGGACTCCGGTGCCTTCTGGAAGGCGCTGGCTGGGATCTCGGCCTCCTCCTGCATGTGAACACAGCACTGACGCGGACAGCCCCTTATCCCAGAGCAGCCTGAGGCTCATTCCTTAATTACACAAGAGGAACTCCCTTTACCTCCGCAGCCAGAGCGAGGCGGAAAGCGGGAGACGTGGGAAGGTAGGGGGAGGGAGAGCTGCCGGCCGACTGCAGAAGTCTGCCAAGTAGTGTGGGACCCAGGGAGGGCGGTGGCCGCAGTCGCTGAATGACTTCCACCACCGTTATTTTGGGGATGGGCTGGGACTTAGACCAAATTCTGCGGACGTGGCTTGAGCTGGGCGGGCTTGGATCCGCCAGGCTGGGCTCGGGCGCGTGGGGGAGGTCGGGGCTGGGCGGTGGGAAGTGGGTGCGGCTCGGGAAGTCCGTCCCACAGCAACAGGCGGCGGGTGCGGTCAGGAATGTGGGTGTGGTAAGTGGGTGGGAGAGAAGAGCCCCACCTGGTGGCCCAAAGGCGAGAAAAGTCCTCGACTGGGGGACGCCCGAGGTCACTGACCTTGAAGAGCAGAACATGGAGCTTCCCGCGCGCCACCAGCAGCCCGTGGTTGGCCTCCAGCCGCTGCACCTGGGCTGCGCGGCGCACCGCGCGCTCCTGGGCGGCGTCTGCGTGCGAGCCCACGCGCTCCGCCTTGGCCAGCAGCTGCGCCAGGGTGTTGCTCGTGGTGTCGTGGCTGCGGCTCAGTGCGTCCAGGCCGGTCTGGATGCGGCGCACCGAGCCCGCCAGGCCTCCCTGCCTCCGAGCCAGGCCTCCCTGCCGCTCCCGCAGCGTCTCCAGCATGGAGGCCAGCTTCTCCAGCAGGGTCACCACCGTCACGGCGTGCACGGGGCCCCCCGCCGGCGCCCCGGGCGCAGGCCCCGACTCGAACGCGCTCTCCCCCATGATCCCTGACCGCCCAGCTCTCCGTGCTGGCAGCTGCTGGCTGTACTGTGGGCTGGGGCCGCCTTTTCCCCAGCTCCTCCCCAGCTCCAGCCGTGACTCAGGCAGGCGGAGTTGGCCTTCTCGGGCAGTGAGAGGGGGGAAGGAGGGCCGGGGGCGGGATGTCCGCAGAGGGTCCGTCGGAGGCGCTCCCCCTTCCGCTGCTCCGCCCCGAGGACCCGCTGAGAAGCGGGCTGGCCCTGAGTCAGCGCTCCGCAAACCCTCTCCCTCTCCCTCTGGGTTTGAGTTCCCCTCCTCTGCTCCAATCCCTTGGTGTGCCTCTTTCTGGGACGTACCCTCCCCAAAGGGCGAGTCACGGAAACTTTTTTGTCATGCATCCAGTGGGCACAAAAACCATGTAACCGCGGCAAAGAGATAACTAAAGGGGTCTCTGCTTCCGACTACCCTCGGCCTCCCACGACGCTGAAGATTGTATTTTCGTGGCCCCAGGCTGGGCGTGGGGCACAGAGTGGCTCTGGAATGTTCCGTTACAGATCCTGTGCTGCCAAGGCCCGAGGCCCGGCTTTGTGACTAGACAGGCTATGCAATGCGGGCTGGCAGGCGGCGAATCCTCTGGTATTTTCTTAATAGTCATCACCAGGGTTTAACTGCAGACTGCAGGCTTCATTTCTTGCTTCTCTAAGTCTTCCTTTTAGGTATCATTACCCTGTTTTCTTTCTCCAGTTCTCTGCCCTCGCTTTCTTTGGGTTTACAAGTAAAGCTCAGTGATGCCTAGCTCCTGCACCCAAGCTTGGCGGACAGACAGGACACCTCTTCCTTTGAAAACCTTAAATGGGTTAGTGTACTGTAATCCCAACACTTTGGGAGGCCAAGGCGAGTGGATTGCCTGAGTCCGCGGGTTCGAGACCAGCGTGGGCAACTTGGCGAGACCTCGTCTTTACAATAAATCAAAAAATTAACCGGGCGTGGTAGCGTGCGCATGTAGTTCCAGGCTACTTGAAAGGCTGAGGCAGAAGGATCACTGGAGCCCAGCAGGTCGATGCTGGGGTGGCCCTGAGCTTGCCACTGCACCCCAGCCTGGGCAACAGAGTGAGACTCCGACTCAAAAAAAAAAGGGGGGGAGTGTTAGTATAGATACCAGTCTTTGCTTTGATGGAGGTTAGGTGGGTTCCCACCTGATGTTTGTTTGTTTGTTTTCTTTGTTTTTTGTTTCTTGTTTTGTTTGTTTTGTTTTGTTCTCTCTGAAGAGAGGTGATAATATCTGCTGAAAGTAAAGATCTGAAATTGCTGCTGTAGACAGGAAGACAGGAAGCATGGAGAGTCAATTAATAATGAGGGTAGTGAATTTGTAACGTCATTCATTTGGAAAACCCTATACCTTATTTTAAGCAATGTTCTTCAGGCCGTTTGTAGTCTCACAAATCCAAGGAATCTACTGATCCTAATGATTTATTTCCCTCTTCCTCTCTTCATCTACCTGTGGCCACGTGATAACAATTGTGTAAGAAACTTGTGTCACTCAGGAAATAGTTACATGGTCTGACTTACACAAAAGTACATCAAGCAATGGGCAACCAATGCCAGAAATCTGGTGATACTAAGTTGATACCTAACTTCTGCAATTACAGGATCATGGAGCCTGGACCCCGGCTTAATGCAAGAGAATATGGACTCCCTTGGGAACCTGGTGAGAATCATCATCTCTTCCAGTGAAACTATATTTGCCCAGAGAGCCATCAGGGACTGGGAAATACATTTGCCAGTTAAAATACTTTCAAACTGAGGGAACAAAAACCCAATTCAAACAGTATTTAATAACAGAAAACCCAATTAAAACATAATTGAAAAAGACCACTGGTAGAGTGATGATTAAGTATGAGCCAGTCACAGGTCTAAATCTGGTTCTCAGCAGTTCTTTCAACTGTGAGCCCTTCCCCCTCCTCCCCTCCCCCCCCCCCC